GCGGAAGCAACGGGTCGAACGAGGGAGGTCGAGACTTGGCGGCGCAGATGTTACTCGAAAAAGAACTCCAAATCAAGGCGATGATGCAGAAAATCAAGATGCGGGAAATGAAGAAAAAGAAGACTGGGAGTGCGGGCGGAACGCCTGTATTGACTGCTGCAAGCATTGTGTCGGCAGTTGTGGAAAACCCGGTTCCTCAGACCCCGCGTGTTGTTCATGCTTCCGTGGCGGTTGTATCATCATTGCCTAGCACTTCTCCAGCCTCCGATCCGTTGCCGGAGAAGGCATCACAACAAGAAGTTCCACCGGAATCTACAGACAATCAGGGAGAACAAGGTGAGTGCATTGGTTTGCAGTGCTGTGGTTTGAGTCAATTATGGCCCAAACGACTTTGTGCGAGTGGAGGCCGAGTCGCCTGAGGATCGCCTTAACTCTACAAGCAGCGCGCTGGGTTCATAGCAAGTCGTTTCGCTTTGTGATTCTAGCTAACTGTAGTCCGACCTATAGATTCGGACCTGGTTGTGGGATCTCAAGCCACAAGTGATGACAAGGGCAAAGTTGTGGAAGCTGAAGGTAGGTGAACACTACGCATATCTATCTCGTGCTCAGCTATCTTTATAGTTGCCGCAGAGGTTGATCAAGGCGCGTTAGAACACGAAAGGTTTGCGTTATTGCTGACCTCCTCTGTAGATGCGAACCAGGATGACCAGGCAGCGGCAAGAATATACTTCCTGGGTACCGCTTGTGGCTCAATTAACGGCTCGAATATTTTTTTTGCAGGTACTGGTAAATCAAGCGACTCAATCAGAGGTTGTAGCCAGATCAAATGATAGAGGATCGGTGCGTCCATTCGCGGCTGTACTGGTCTAAATCAAGTGTTTTGTGCTGAAGTGGATTGATACGACCGACCTGTCGCACGGATTTGGTTAGACTCATTTCAAGACCTACTCGTCGCCACTCGCAGGTTTCACCAGCCCCAGTCTTCAACCTCCAAAGCCAACGGACCAGCAGTTACCGACAATCTACTGGATCTCATCAGCTGCAGGGCGAGAGCAAAACATGGGTCGGCAACTATGTCAATACGAATTTCCGAGTGGAAGCTGCCAAGACCAAGGGTGCCCAGATATCCATGCGAAGGACTTGAAAGCGTCCGGTGAGTAACTTTTCTGGCGAGCTACTTGTTGCAGATCTTCGTTGCGCCATCTTACGAGGCAATCATGCGAGCAGGTGAGGATATTTTAACGCAAGCGGCGATGATGTTTCCGAATATCGGACCCAGCGGCCTGTTCGATATTGTAACACGAATACGACAATCCACTGGAGCGCAACAGTGACAAGATATGAACAGCAACTCCCGACCTTGTGTACAGTATTAACGGATACCAGCATTTTGTACCATTTCTCCGTCGCTTTCACATCTGCACTACCCTATACCTCCAGCCCCTTTATTTTAGTTCCCTCTCACGTTCATTCGAATCGCGTTTTCCATTTCGTTATCAGGTCATGCGACTCCCCCTATATGGTGCACCAACACTTCAAGTGATGGAATTGGAAGGAGCATTTGCTCGCTAGTTGGGCTAGAGTGCCCACGTATGGCTGTTCAAAGTTCTGCGTGTTTGTTATATGGCGTATTTATTGTTCCATGATGTTAGATGCATGTGTATGCGATATGGTTTTAAGATTTCAAGCTCTGGATGAAGATCAGTGCACGAGGCAAAGCTCAGATAGGAAATGTTTTTTGATCGAATTTGTTAGGTAAGCGGAAAGTGGGAGGTGCCGTGTGGTGCGTAGACGCGTCCGGCTCGATTTGTGCTCGTTACCCCGCCCTTTAACCCCGACCACAACATCCCTTTCCATTCTTCTTTACTCTGTGCTACTACCTCGTACTATAAGAATGCGTCGGGATGTTCGTGTACTACTGGTTGGGGATGGTAAGCTGTCTCTAAGCCGATTACACTGTTTATTGATCTTCGCATTGGGCAGAGGGAGTCGGAAAGAGCACAATTGTAACCTCGCTCATCAAGGAGGAGTATGTCGATAATGTACGTAGCCTGCGGTGCGCATCTCTGCTCAACGCTCACGGCTCTCCAGGTTCAGCATGTTGTACCAGAGGTAACTATACCTCCTGAAGTTACGCCCGAAAATGTCACGACCTATATTGTCGATTCGTCAGGTGAACTACCTCTTTCTCTCGCAGTTCTCTCCACTCTTTCGTGTTAAACTTTGGGTTGTCTAGCTGGTCCTGCCGATAGACCACATCTCGACTCAGAAATCCGAAAGGCGCACGTAATATGTGTAGTCTACGCTATTGACAACCCCCACTCATTTGACCGTGTTCCTGCCTACTGGTTGCCGCATTTCAGGTCGCTGGGTGTCAACGTATGTCTTATTCTATGAAGTGCATACGTTTTATAGACCAACTCACACAGGGTGGATGTAGGTCCCTGTAATTTTGGTTGGGAACAAGATAGATCTGAGAGGTGGAGAAGTCTCTAATGAGGACCTTGAAAATGAGGTGGCACCTATTATGGAAGAGTTCAAGGTACTTGCACTCCTAAATCTCTTGAAGAGGCAAACCTAACGCTATCTTCAGGAAGTGGAAACATGCGTCGAATGCTCAGCGCGTATTCCAACCAATATCGCTGGGATCATTTACTTTGCCCAGAAGGCAGTTTTGCATCCAACCGCCCCTCTATACGATTCACGAGAACATGTGAGTCCCTTGATGATTTTATGGGCATTTCATGTTTTGCCGCCACCCCGTTCGGAGGCGGGATCTTACCTTGATTCTTGATTTGAACTGGACACTGATATGGCACGTTGAAACTGTCTAGACATTAAAACCTGCGGCTGTTGATGCTTTACGAAGAATATTTCGGCTATGTGATACCAATAAAGATGGTGTACTCGATACGCGCGAGCTCAACGAATTTCAAGTATGTTTCCTACCTCTCAGTTCTTGCTTGTGATCATTAATATCTCATTTCCCAACTATCAAGCAAACTTGCTTCAAATCCCCACTCCAAGCACAAGAAGTCGACGGAATCAAGTCTATCCTGCGCGGCCACGACACAAACATGCTACGCCGCCTCCCTTCTCCAACCCATTCATCTCCTTCAGGCTCGCCACCTGGGACTCCTCCTGTTGAAGAAGGCGTAACGGAGGACGGATTTCTATATCTCCATACCGAGTTCATTCGAAGGGCGAGGGTGGAGACAACGTGGATTGTCCTGCGGCAATTTGGATATGCAGAAGACTTGAGGCTCACCGAGAGCTGGCTGGCTCCGAAGTAAGTCAATGCTAGATAGTCACGATAATCTGCGTAGCAAACCCGGCTGAACCTTCTCTCAGGTTCGATGTACCGCATGATTGTTCAGTCGAGCTCAGCCCAAAGGGATATCAGTTCTTCACTGATATCTTTCAGATATTCGATAAGGTGGGTCGACTTGCTTGAGTTTTCTTTTGGGTGTTTGGTCTGATTTATGTTTCCATTTTAGGACCAAGATGGAGCACTTCGGCCTGAAGAGCTCGACAACCTGTTTAACACCTCACCTGGAAACCCATGGGCCGCAGAAGACGACGAAGGCGTTGACGGTACAATTACTTTGCAACACTGGCTCGCCAAATGGAGGTATGCGTCCAGGCCCAACTTTTACTCTCTTGGCCTTTTACTTACAACAACGCATCCCTAGCATGACCACCCTGCTTGACCACAAACAAACCCTCGCGTACCTTGCGTACCTGGGCTACAACACAGGCCCAACCACCTCCGCCCTAAAAATAACCAAACCCCGGCGCGCAGAGCGACGCAAAGGCTGCGTTACGCGAAATGTCTTCCTCTGCTATGTCGTAGGCGCCGGTGGGTCCGGTAAGTCTGCAATCCTCAATAGTTTCAGGGAGCTTGGGGGTGGAAGTGTGGCGGCTAGCCCAGTCAAAGAAAGCGGGAAAGGCAAAGGAAAGATGGGTGAAATAGAACCGTACCGGCCTACGGACAAGGTACTGAGCGTCGTGGGTGCGGTTGAGTTGAAGGGTGCAGAGAAGTACTTGGTCGTAAGTCACTACTGGCTACTTTGTTGACAGTACACCTGATGGTATCTTGTATAGATGCGAGAGTTTGGGTCAAAGAGTGAGGCGGAGTTATTGAGGGATGCTAAGACGATGGATTTGGCGGATGTGATTATCTACGTATACGATTCGAGTGACACGAATTCGTTCTCGTACGTTAGTAACCTCCGAGTGAGTCATTTTCTCATTCATTTTGGCATGGTGCGTTTTCCTAATAGAATATTCAGCAACAATACAGCTTGGATCATATCCCTAGCATGTTCGTCGCCACAAAATCAGACCTCGACCTTGCGCAACAGGTAAGAGCGCATACAAGTACGATCTTAAACCGCTTAGTTAACTCTACAAACTAGCGCCACGAAGTCCAACCTGACGTCTACTGCCGCCGACTAGGCCTTCAAGGTCCTTACGCAGTCAGCATTAAGAACCCCCAAATTGCAAACTTATTCCCAGAAATCGTCTCAACGGCCATCAACCCGTACGTAACCTCGCTTACCTTTCTCAACTATCCCCCTAACTGCCCGTATCAGACGAAATGCGATGCCGGGTGGCGCAGAGCGAGCCTCCGCTACCATCGCCCGACGAAAAGTAGCGCTCGGCGTCGGCGTGACAGTTGCAGGACTCATGGTCGCCTACAGGACATTCTTACGTCCTATTAGCTACGGAAGCGGCTGGTGGTCCAACTGGGTTGGCTGGCTTATGGGTGGAGCGATGCGCAGGGAGCTGTAGGTGTGTTTTCGTTTACGTTTTTGAACGACTGTACGACTTGTTTTATGGATACGGACTTGTGTACATGATGTTATTCGCATAATACCCAATTATAGAGCCAGAAAAGTAGAAACCGACTATGTTTCGCCAAGTGCACAATAATTATATTGCCCCCTTCACCAAACCACACCCAAAGAAATAACGAGCTCCTTCAGACCAGGGCAAAATGGCTGCATCAGGGATCGAACCTGAGACCCTCTGCGAACTGCGCGAGCAATGTAAAGCAGATATCATAACCACTAGACTATGCAACCGTTGATGGAGTTCAGCACAATCTCGACATATCGCTTGCACACATACCTGCGAACGGCACTTGCATTCATTTGATAGTGATGCCTGATTTAAAACATGAGCCGCACTTGGGCCTCTTCCAGACATACGTTGGTGCTGGTGCTCCAATATGGCCACTCCAGAGACTACAACATCGTGGATCTATTTCACCACTCTAAACCAAGAGTATGTTCTACATGCGGTCGCAAGTACCAATATATGCTACATAACCATCATCCAAAACCCAAACCACAGCAGAACTATACTTAATGCAACGCACTATAGTCCCCCCGCCCATCTGCGCCAGCATCGTCATCTCCCGCCGGGCTCTTCTCAAACGGCAGTAGCAGGACGCAAACAACAGTGAAAAGGAAGACGCCGATAGATGTGTAGACCGGGAGCGAGGGAGAGATTGACATGAGGATTCCGCCTGCGACGGGCGCTATCATTCCGCCTCTGCAAACAGAAATCAGCTGGGGTTCATCCGTATGCCAGTAGGCAGTAGACTTACACTCGATTTATAGCAGACGCGGTCCCGCACGCCGTGCCCCGAACTATAAACCCAACCTTAGTAAAACTCAGGCCATATCCCAAGTCTATTCAAGCACTCACTCTTCGTATCAAAAATCTCGGGCGTCATTCCATATAACACCGCCCACATAACCGTAGACGCCAGTGATATGCCAATCGTGCTCAACATAACACCCATCTTGCTCTCTACTTGCACGAACGCAAGGCAGAACAAAGCAGTAACGAAGGTGCTCAGCGCTAAGGACTTGCGTCGCCCAAGCGGGGACTCGATCATCCATGCTCCGAGCTAGGTACCCGGGGCCAGCAAATGTGAATAAATGCGCGTAGTATTGGTTGGAGTACGCACCAGAGCACCGGGACATCCTCCAAGTGTGAAAATCACGATATCCCACATCGCTTCTTTCCGACCTCCCTCACTCCCAGCCCCACCTAACCGTTGCTCAAGCAGCTTCGGCAGGTACACATTAAACATAGTGAACGCTTTTCAACCCTCAAAAATCAGAACGACCTTACTCGACCCGTAAAGTTCGAAACAACTCACCAAGCGACATTCCCCACCACGCACACCACACCAAAATCGTCGTCAACCTCCATTTGGGCGTGAACAACATCCCTACCCGATCCAACCACACCGCAATAGGCCTCCCAATCCCGCTCGGAAGCGTCTGCTCGACGTATATCGAGGACCTAGGACGGGGCTGCATAGGCGGCCTTCTAACCCTCGGTAGTCGGCTCCCGCTACGACTCCTAGAGGTTGTGGGAGAAGACGCCTCGCTTTGGTTCACCGACTCGGAACCATGTTTTCCTTCAAAGTAGGATGATTCATCTGCGTGTAAAGGCGCTGGCGTATGAAAGGACCATTCTCCAACGATTCCTTCTGGGCTGTTGTCTGTTGCACGGTAGTCTATTCGGTCTTCCAGTTGTTCAGAGAGCGCTTCAGACCGGCCACGATCCTTGTCCGAGCCAGAGTTTTGGACTTTGTCTTCGTCTGTTGAACATAATGGTTGAGGGGCAGAGACTAAGGCTGATTCCTCGTCGTCAATGTCGAACACAACACCCTCGTCGCTCTGCATTGCGCTAGGCTCGATATCGCATACGTCTGCAAGTGTGATGACGAATCGAACTCGGGCCGGTTGACGGGTGTGCCTATATTGGGGAGACAATCATTAGAGTTGAAATGTATACGCTGGAAGTTCGCTAGTACGTACTTCTGGTTATAGTCCTCGATGCTCTGCAGAGCACTAACAGCGTCTGCTTTACGTCCTGCTGCAACCAGGTATCGAGGAGACTCGTATAGCTTGAAGAAAATGATCCGGAGGGTGAACATCACAAGTGTCTAGAACGAGTTTCTCAGTAATGTCCGAGGCGACCGTGAAAAGCAAACGTACAATGATTCCCAGGGTGGCCAGCAAGTACTTCCAGCCGCGATTTTGAACTGCTACATCGCACAATGGTACTGTCGGGGGTATTGTAGAGTTTCCGCTTCCCGGTGCGCCGCCTCCGGCTCGAGAACCAAGCGCGTAGGCGAGTTTGATGAGGGAAGGGGGAGGGGGGTTTTGTTCAGATATTAGATTTTCTGGGCAGCTATTGTTTGGGATGATTATGATGGCTATGATAGCACTGACGACTGCCCCCATGGAAAAGAATAAAGACAACGCCGTGAGGAGGTATTGCTTTTTCTTGGGGACATTTTCCAAAAACAACGTCCCGTCCGTAGGCATACTGCCCTGCACAGTTTCTTCAGTTATTCCGTCGTGTAAAAAGGACGGATCACTCACCCCTACTGCACTCCCCAGCAAGAACAACAAGAAACATAATCCCCCAAAACTAGTCGCGAAACATGCCATAACGCCAAACAAGCTCGTAAAAGCTAGCGTGAGGTTAAACGCCATACTCCGACCAACGATATCCGAACATGAGCCCCATCCAAGTGCCCCGAACATCATGCCACAAAATACAGAGGAAGAGAGCAAGCCAATGCGCGAATCAGACACTGCATATTCGTCTTGCACTCGAGGAAGGATGATAGCTATAGCTTGGAGCCACATCTGGCGCGGTATTGGCGGTCGGCGGGAAGTGGCATGGAAATGGCAAAATGAATGGAGAGTCAACCGGATTCATAAGATATAGTTACGTTGTCTGCGGCCCAGCCTGCGAACACTCTGTAAGTTGGGCGCACACACGCTTGTCCGAGACCGCAAAAGACATACCAAAGCCACATAGGCCTAGCAACGCCCACTGATACGGGCCTTTCGGAACAAGTAAGTCAACGAAATCTCTAGTACGAAATCGCAGCACGCACCCATGCCAATCTTATCAATCGTTCTATCTAAAGCTGAGCGCATGTCGTCGTCGCCTCCGTCTTCTTCGTGTGTGGTATCGAAAATCTGCGAGGCCTGGCGTCGTGCTTGGTGCGTCGGCATGGTTGTTATAATAGCTGGTCGGAATGAGGGTTCCGCTGCTCTTTGCTCTGCCTATGTGTCTGTAAGCTAAGAACACAACGCCTGAATCAGCTCAGTCCGGAGCCCCACCTAGAATATGGTGCCTGCATAGCCACCAATCACGCCAGAGCTACCCACGGCGCTTCGGCCCCATCATCCCATTACTTCGTCAATTAAATGGCTACGTTACAGCGTCACAAGAGTCACCATTAATTAGGAAACCTTTTAACTACATATGCGTTCAGCATTAACAACAAACCCGCAAGGTCGTAAAGAATCCAAGAAAGATCAAACACCCAAGAAAATAGTCAGAAACCACACAACTAGTGATCAGTCTCCTCCCACGTGCGCCCGACAGTCTTGTACAAATCCGCCTCGGTGACCTGTTTTCCGCTTGTAAAGTACCCTGCGGCAATCTTGGCGTCAATCTCGACTCGCGAGTCAGGTGGGATCAGGTGCTCTGGGAGGTCGTAACGTTTGATGATCGGGATACCAGAATCGACGATGGCGTTATATTTCCTAGCGCGTTACCCGGGTTAGTCAACATAGAGCAGCTCGCTTGCGATTTGAACTCACATGTCGCTCATGGAAATCATGTTGTCGATCTTGGTAATACCAAGCCAGTGCAACACATCTGGCATCAGCGCCTGGAACCGCATGTCCTTCACGCCCGCGATCAACTCCGTGGACTTGAAGTACTTGTCCGCGCTATCACCACCACGCTTGCGCAAGTTGTACACGAGGTACCTATTTAAAAAGTTAATAGACACTCAATTCAAATGTGGGTATATGCTTACTTGGTAACCTCGCCCAGCGCACGCCCTTCCTTTCGGAAGTACACCACGACACCAACTCCACCCCGTTGCGCCGTACGCACGCACTCTTCGATGGCGAAAACAAGATAAGGCTTGCACGTGCAGATATCAGAGCCGAACACGTCAGATCCGTTGCCTGAAATGAGCATAGTCGGAATCAAACATAGTCAGAATCAAATAAAGTAGCCAGGTGACGGCAAAAAAACGCGCACATTCATCGTGCACACGCAGCGTGAGCTCTTTACTCGGGTCCCGCATGTGGGCGGGATTGCCAACTGCGATACGACGTAAATAGATTATTCAAATAGCTTGAGCCGTTGCACTCACAGATGTAAACGGTCAGACCACCGATAGGAGGCAAGAATACCTTGATATCTGGCCTAGTAATAAGCTCAGGGTACATGCCCCCAGTCTCCTCAAACAGCGCCCGACGAAGCAACGACTCGTGGCTAAAACAATTCATAAGTACCCACAGCGGATCCAACCCAAGTAATACACTCACATTCCAAATCGCTGAGCGCATCCGGGTAACCACCAAACAGGCTCAACCGCAGCCTTGCTGCACGCCAACTCAATACCAGGGTCCGCGGTGCTCTCCGAGCCATCCGGGTTGTGTAAAGGTCGAGACTTGAACACGACTTTGCCGTCGATGGGGATGGCTGTTGAGGTGGTCAACGCAGCATCGATTTCAGACAGTTTGATGTGCTGAAATTGCAGCGCGGTGAATAGCGTATTCTGCTAACGACGGCAGGTATGCTTACTGCCTTGGTGACCGCAATGCTGGGTCTCACATCCAGGCCGTTTGCGATTTCGGTCGCGAATGTCTGTTGGACCAAGTGACCCCACGGGTCGAATGACACAATCTTCGTGGGATCGAACCTAGTAACTGTTGAGCTCTAAGTTTTAAAACACGCTCAATTTTGACTCACCAGCTTTTTTGGGGTGGAATCTCCACCGGAGGGTCCGTAAGTGCATAGTTAGGCTGGTGTGTGGGCGACAAAGTACCCATCGCAATAGCAAGTGCACGATAAATCGAATACGAACCCGAATGAGCACTGAAATTGCCCATTTCGTCAGTAATACGTAAAAGGCAAGCCACCGAAGAAACCCCCACGAACCCAATGGCATTCCTCAACTTGATACTGTTGGGCAAGCGCGAGCACACCACTGGTCCTCTGGCAGCCGCTGAATCCGCCG